GAGAGAGAGAGAGAGAGAGAGAGATGGGGGGTGTGTGAACGTGTTATGTGGTGAGAGTGATGAGTGTGATGGGTTCTGTCCACACATGATAGATATTATTTAAAATAACTAGATTACCCATAATGAGTGTCAAATGACCAAATTACCCTTAATGAGTATGACTGTAATTATTAACTTGAACTTCATCATGACCATTAATATGTTGGATCTAGTGGCGCACAACCATTCTTATTTTTTTCACTATCTTTCTTTCTCATAGGATCTCTTATATATATAGGGATTGGATCCATTGAGTCCACATATTTAAAGTGTGCATGTGAGACTCATTCCTAGCCACTAGATTGGTACGTGATGTGTGGCCAAGATTTAACTCTTCATTTAAATAATAATTTTTATTTTTATTACTTAATTCTTTATTTTTATTATTTTCATTATTTAAATATTATTTTGACAATTGACCATTGACTTCGGCATTGACCGTTGACTCTGGCGTTGACCGTTGACTTCCGGCGAAAATCGTTGACCGTTGACTTTCGTCGTTGACCCATTGACCGCTAGTATGCATTATGTATGAAGTAATATGCATACGATACTATGCACTTAATATGAACTAAATATGCATAAGATATGAATTATATATGTCATCCTTATGAACTAAATATGCACCAATAATATCAACTATATATGCACTGTTTATGTACTAAATATGCACATTTTACTAACTAAATATGCATCAGGAATGAACTAAATATGCAACGAAAATATGCAATAAAATATACATTTTATACAATTAAATTAAATATAATAATTAATGATTTTTATTATATAATTAATTTTAATTTTAAATTGATTAATAACACAAATAAATTGTTATGATTGGATCTCAAATAAAATAGGTATGCACTGTTAATGACCTAATATGCATTTCGTAAGAACTAAATATGTACCATGAATTAACTAAATATGCATCATAAATTAACTATATAAACATCATTATATATTTAATTTAAATATAACAAGTATGCATTTCGTATTAACTAAATATGCATCATAAACTACCTAAATATGCATAATAAATTAACTAAATATGCACCATAAATTACCTATATAAAATGTACATTTTATTGCATATTTTTCGCTGCATATTTAGTTCATTCATGATGCATATTTAGTTCATAACAGATGCATATTTAGTTAATAACATGTGTATACT